TCATTCCTGACCCTTTGTACCGCAAACAAATGCGAGTGTTCACTCATATGCGTATGGCCTTTCTTGAGGAGATTCCACTCTTGAGGGCTCCATTTTCATAGCCTCCACGTCAGTGCCAGGACGCCATGGCATTTTATTCCGTAGTCTCTGATTCGTTCCTGCGACACCGGGCCGCCTCGCTCGACCGCTCGCCGTCCGCCGCCGACGCGACAGCTTTTAGAGCAGAGCCGATCGACTCCTGAATCAAACCTCGAGTCTGTTGAGTCAACAATGCCGTGTGATTTGAAGTCACGTCCAAGTTGACTCAAAAGTCACCGCGACAGGCTCTGAGAACATATCTGTTTAAATCCTCACTCATCTCGCGCGCCTCCCCGCTCATCTCCGCCTCCCCTCATCTCCACCTCCCCATCTCCGCCGCCTTCCCCCGCCGCCCCATGCCGCAGGCATTTTCATTCTCGTCGCTGGACGCGCGGTGCGGCGGTGCGGGGAGGGTGCTTCTGGGGGCGGCGTGGGTGGGGCTATGGGTGGGGCTGTGCGCGTGGGTGGTGTGGTTTGCGCACAAGCAGGCGGACGAGCCGCGGCAGGAGGCGATCCGCGTGTGGTGCCGCACGCGCGTGCGCTACCTCCACCAGGACATCCGCTCCGCCATTGCGCGCGCCGAGGTACTCCGTGCGCCGAGTTAGCGCGCCGAGGTGCTGCGCGCGCCGAGCTATTGCGCGCCGCGGTGCTGCACACGCCTAGTTATTGCGCGCCGATGCACTTCGTGCCGAGGTAACTGCGCCCTCCCCCCATCTCCGCGCAGTTTCTTCCGCCCAATCCTCACACGCGCGCAGGTTCTTCCGCCTTACATTGGATACGCTAGTACCCCCAACCCCGTACTCGCGCACGGGCTTCCGCAACGTAACACCTTGCTACCCACTGGGTCAAAACGAGGGTTATATTTGAGGCGCAGCGGATGCACTCATACCCTTACGTGTAAGCCCCACAGGCGTTACATTCGTCCCCCCCTGGAGCCAACGTCCTTGTTGGGCAGGGAGTCGGCCATCGCAAGGACCTCAATCTCGCTCTACAGCGACTTCGCGTTACAGCAATGCCCTTACCCCGCGAATGCTGGTCCAGCGCGCACACGCAGCGCACACACGGATCGCACACACGCAGCGCACACTCGTTTTGGCCACACACTCTTGGGTTTTCCACTTAATACCCACCTCTCCCCCCCCCTCTTCCTCCCTCCCCTCTCGGTTGCCGTCTTCCCAGGAGGCCTCGGGGCTGATGAAGGTGCTGGCCTGGTCTGGCCGCGCAGCTACAGCATTGCACCCGTTCGTCAGAACAGAGTTCTCAAGATCTTCCCCTATTTGCCTTGTCACACACGCCGCGCACGGCAGGAGGCCACAGGACTGATGAAGGTATTGAGGTCGTATGGGCCACACAGCAACTCTCTAGGGTTTTCCACTTAATACCCACCCCACCCTCCGCCCCTCCCTCCCTCCCCCCTCTCTCGATCCCCATCTTCCAAGAAGGCCCATAAGAGTCGTTCCTCATCTTTCCCCCCTTGCGCACACACACAAGGAGGCGACAGGGCTGGTGAAGGTGTTGGGCTCTTATGGGCCCGCGCAGCAGCAGTATTGGAGTCATTGTTTAGACTGGATCTCAAGATTCCCTATGCTCCTCACTTTGCTCCTCACTTTGCTCCTCACTTTTCTCCTCGCTTTGCTCCTCACACACGCACACAACAGGAGGCCACGGGACTGATGAAGGTGTTTGGCTCGTATGGCCTGCGCAGCAACTCTCAAAGGTTCCCCCCCGCCCTCGTCACTCCTCATGTTTCCCCCCTTGACTCTTGCTCTCACTCTCACTCTCACTCTCACTCTCACACACACCAGGAGGCCACTGGGCTGATGAAGGTGTTTGGCTCGTATGGCCCGCGCAGCAGCAGCAACCTGAGCTACTGGGGGCTGGCGGGGTGCGTTAATAACAAGACTCTGCTGGAGTACACGTGGGCGGCTGACCGCATCGTGACTTACAGCAGCAGCACCGTCTTTATGCTTCTCAACGACCAGGACAGGTGAGGATGAGGGGCGAGATGTGATGGTGGTAGTAGGTACCGACTGAACACGCATGGCATGTGAGTGATGGTATGAGGGAGGCACTCTCGAAGGCGGCTCAAGGGCCGCATCGTGACTTACAGCAGCAGCATCTTCTTTATGCTTCTCAACGACTAGGACAGGTGAGGGGGAGGAAAGGTGCAGGGGAGGACAGATGAGGGGGAGGGGACTTGTTGTGAGGCGCCTTAAAAGACATGGTGGTTGGTCCGACCATCGTGACTTACAGCAGCAGCACCGTCTTCATGCTTCTCAACGACCAGGACAGGTGAGGAGGACAGGCGTGAGGGGGGGGACAGATGAAGGGGAGGACAGGTGAGGGGGAGGACAGATGAGGGGGAGGACAGGTGAGGGGGAGGGCAGGTGAGGGGGAGGGCAGGTGAGGGGGAGGGCAGGTGAGGGGGAGGACAGGTGAGGGGGAGGGGACTTTTGAGGCGCCTTAAATCATGTGGTGAGCCCACCGCATCGTTACCTACAGCAGCAGCACCGTCTTCATGCGTCTCAACGACCAGGACCGGTGAGGAGGAGGACAGGTGAGGGGGAGGACAGGTGTGGGGGAGGACAGGTGAGGGGGGGAAGACTCTTGAGGCGCCTTAAAAAACGTAATCGGCTGCACCGTCTCAATGCACCGTGGGGTGCGACAGGTAGGGGGAGGGGCGGGGCAGGTAGGGGGAGGGGCGGAGCAGGTAGGGGGAGGGGCGGAGCAGGTAGGGGGAGGGGCGGGGCAGGTAGCGGGAGGGGCAGGACAGGTGTAAAGAAGGGGGGGAACACGTGAAAGAAAAGCAAATTTGAGACGTCTCAAAAGCATTCTTCTTTCACGTAGCAAGCTGATTAGTGATGTAAAACAAATCCAGTCGTCAGATGGTGGTGGCTAAAAGGAGACATCCAAGTTGCTGCCACCCATTCCCAACCTTTCGCACCCATTCCCACCCTTTCCCATCCCACCCATTCCCAACCTTTCCCACCCATTCCACACAGAGCCACAGTGGAGAGGATCACAGGGAACCAGGTGCGCTCCATACTGGGGCCACATTCCCCGCCCATTCCCATCCCATCCATTCCCACCCTTTCCCACCCATTCCCACCCATTGCCACCCATTCACACAGAGCCACAGTGGAGAGGATCACAGGGTACCAGGTGCGCTCCATACTGGGCCTGCCAGCGCCACACAAGGACTTCTACTCTGTCAACCTCTGATTGTATCTCTTGTTCTCACCCATTCCCACCCATTCCCACCCACTCCCACCCATTCCCACCCGTTCCCACCAATTCCCACCCATTCTCTGCAGGGCCACGGTTGAGAAGATCACAGGGTATCAGGTGCGCTCCATACTGGGCCTGCCAGCGCCACACAAGGACTTCTACTGTGTGAACCTCATCGGCAACACAGACTTCAACCTGCCGCCGCTCACTGACTTTGCCCCCCTCGTCCCTCCCAACTTCTTCACCAATCTGCTGGCTGGCAAGCCGGTTGCTGGCCCGCCTATCTCCATTGGCCCCGGTCATGTGTCCAGGGTGCGTGCTCAAGCAGTCACATTGCATTGCTCTTTCCGTTCCTCTATTTCTTTCATTGAGGCGCCTTAAAGATTGGCAAGCCGGTTGCTGGCCCGCCTATCTTCATTGGCCCCGGCCATGTGTCGAGTGGTGCGTGCTCGAGTCAAATGGTCAATAGTCATGTGTCAATAGTCATGTGTCAATAGTCATGTGTGTGTGAGTGTGCGCGGGCGCGCGAGCGTTCGTGTGCGCGTGCGGGTGCACGTGTGCGCGTGCGGGTGCACGTGTGCGCGTGCGTGTGCGCGTGTGCATGCGCCTGTGCATGTGCATGTGTGCGTGCGCGTGTGCTTGCGCGCGCGCGCGCGCGCGCGCGCGCGTGTGTGTGTGTGTGTGTGTGTGCACATGCGTGTGCGTGCTCGTGTGCATGTGCATGTGCTTGTGCATGTGCGTGTGCGTGTACATGTACGTAAGTGCGCGCGCGCGCATCACATCTCTCATTCCATTCCCATCTTCCGCCACCCCCTGCCTGCCCCACCTCTGCCTGCCCCACCTCTGCCTGCCCCACCTCTGCCTGCCCCACCTCTGCCTGCCCCACCGCTGCCTGCCCCACCGCTGCCTGCCCCACCGCTGCCTGCCCCACCGCTGCCTGCCCCACCGCTGCCTGCCTTGCCTGCCCGACCCGTGCCGCCACTGCCTGTCCCTCCCCCTGCCCCTCGCAGTGTTTGCGATTCCCATCTTCCGCCATCCCGTGCCGGCCAACGCGTCGCGGCAGGAGATGAGGCGATCAGTAGCTAGGTTAGTGCATATCATAGCTAACAACGTCACCTCTCTCTCTCCCTCCCCTGCCCTGCCCCTGCCCTGCCCCTGCCCATACCCCTCCCTCCCTGTGCTCCTCGCAGTGTTTGTGATTCCCATCTTCCGCCATCCCGTGCCGGCCAATGCGTCGCGGCAGGAGATCAGGGAGAGCATTAGCACCACGTGGGCTGCTATCGTGCAGCTGGAGTGGTGGGCGCGGAACATTCTTGACATGCTCCAAGATGGAGACGGTATGACTCAAACCTTGAGAATAGGATGGTATCTAATCGTCTTCAAGCCCCCAACTTTCGTTCTAGATTATCAAAGACATCCTTGGCGTGAAACGGTGGACATCAGCTCATAAATGGTGTGAAACGGTGTCACTAGCTTAGAAATGGTTTGAAATGGTGTGAACAACTCAAAAATGGTGTGAAATGGTGTGACCAGCTTAGAAACGATATGAAATGGCATGGCCGGCTTCGGAACGGTGCAGAACAGTGTGAAATGGCGTGACCAGATTAAAAACCCATGCACCCAGGTTTGAGGGAGCATACCCTAGGTGGGACCTGGTCTATGCACCCATGCTGCTGGGTCTGTCTTTTGAGTTGACTCAAAAACCTTTTTCCCCGTCCCCTTTCCACTGCTTGTCTGCTCTCAGGTTTGAGGGAGCATACCCTAGGTGGGACCTGGTCTATGCACCCATGCTGCTGGGGCTGCTGGTGCTGCTGGTGGCGCTGCTGCTATCGGTTGTGATTGCAGTAATGGCATGGAAGCGAAGGCACATGGAGGAGGGCGTGAGGGAGATGGAGCTGTGCACAGCAGCGCTGGAGAAAGCAGAGCACAGCAAGAGCGTCACTGTGGCTAACCTGTCGCACGAGCTGCGCACGCCAATCATTGGCATGATAGGTGGGAGTTCACATTCGTTCACCTTCATTCACCTTCGTTCGCCTTCATTCACCTTCATTCACCTTTGTTCGCCTTGGTTCGCCTTCGATCGCCTTTGTCTGTCTGCTTTTTTTTACCTCTTCAGATGACAACAACCTCAATGCTTTTTGTGGGGATCGAGGATGTAGTTCAAAATTAAATTATGATCACCTGGATACAACACGATGCTATATATAGGCACGATACAAAATAAGATAACCATATATAACTGGTTGGTTTTGAGGGACACAAAACGTCTGGAATGGGACCTTCCCGAATTCATTAGAAACAATTCGGTGGAATCACGTGGAGCGTAAAGTCACGGGGTGATAACCAAAATAAAACAGAATTCGGTGCACGCAACCTATTTCGGTGCCTACAACTATAATGACTATAGTAAACCAACGAAACTAGGAAAGCAAGCAAAAGCAAGCACAAGAAAATATAACTAACCAAGATAATGCAAGATAAAATGAATATGGATAAGCGTAGCCGCCGTACTCTTGCACTTTTGCTCTCTGAAACCTCACCTCCCAGGGATGATAGAGATGCTGCTGGAGTCGCCATTGGAGGAGTGGCAGACGGCGGATCTGAGGGACGCGGGGGAGTGTGCGCGGGATAGGGATGAGCAAAAAAACGAACACCTGTTCGGTTCGCCTCGATTTTTTTTTGCTTAAAGTGTTCGCCGAACAGTGTTCGAGGTTCGCCCGAACACGTTCGTGTTCGGGCCGCTGCTGCAATTTGCCCGCAGCAAACACGAACAGTGTTCGAGGTTCGCCCGAACACGCCTTCATAGGCGAACGGCGAACACCTGTTTTTGCTTAAGGTGTTCGCCGAACCGAACAGTGTTCGGTTCGCCGAACAGGGGTGTTCGTGCCTGGGGGAACGCGAACACGTTCGTGTTCGCCCCTTGCTCATCCCTAGCGCGGGAGATGGTGGACCTCATCAACCGCGTGCTCGACCTCGCCAAGCTGCAGGCCGGCAGGCTGCAGCTTGAGGCTCTCCCGCTCTGCCTGCCCCGCGTGGCTCGTCATGCCATCGCCCTCGCTGCTCAAGACCCATGCGCCAGGGGGTTGCAAGGTGCGAGAGATACGTGTATATTATGGACCTTGTAATATAATTTTTGTAACAACATCCTTAAGCTAGATTTACAGGTGTAGTCATTTAATCTATTGGGAGGTGTTGGGTTCAACCACAACTTGTGTTGGTGGAGATTGGCCATAAAACTGGGTCATTGGGCGGCATGTACCAACTCTTGGTCCTTAGCTCCACGAATCCCAATCAATTCACGTACATGGTTGCTTGTGTTACAAGCAAATTTATCCACTGACCAACTTAGTGGTCAATAGGGTAAGCTTCCTTTTCACTCTTCTTGCTCCTTCCTTATAGAGTCATTTTTCTCATTACTTGATACAGCTATTATCATTAATCACATTGAAGTCATGATGTATTTACCCTCATACCGTATGCATGCTCTATGTCGTGTCTGGGATGCAGTGACATGCCATGTGGATCCAAGCTTGCCGGCCGTGCTGGTGGGCGATCCAACTCGACTGGCGCAAGTCGTGGGCGAAATCACGTGTGAGTGGAGGTGATGGTAAGTGGAGGTAACATGTGAGTGGAGGTGACATGTGAATGGAGGTGACATGTGAATGGAGGTGACATGTGAATGGAGGTGACATGTGAATGGAGGTGATATGTGAACAGAGGAAGGGTGAAGGAAGCGGGGTTGATGGGGGGAGTAGGGATGAGCAATATGACGAACACCTGTTCGGTTCGCCTCGAACACGTTCGAGGCGAACCGAACAGGATTTTTTTTGGGCCTAAAGTGTTCGGGGCGAACGTGTTCGGTGTTCGCCCGAACACGTTCGCCGTTCGCCCGGCTCAGCTGGCCGAGGCGCGTCGAACACGAACGTGTTCGTGTTCGACACGGGCCTTCGATGAACACCAATGTGTTCGTCGACGAATAGGCCCGCGACCAATTTTTAGGTCGCGGGTCTTGGTGTTTGGGCTCAGATCAAGGCATTTCGCCGTTGCTTAAGTGCGGATCAAGGCATTTCGCCGTTGCTTAAGTGCGGATCAAGGCATTTCGCCGTTGCTTAAGTGCGGATCAAGGCATTTCGCCGTTGCTTAAGTGCGGATCAAGGCATTTCGCCGTTGCTTAAGTATAGATCTAGCATTCCGCCGTTGCCTAAGTGCGGATCAAGCATTTCGCCGTTGCTTAAGCTCAGATCTAGCATTTCGCCGTTGCTTAAGCGTAGATCTAGCATTTCGCCGTTGCACGATGGCACTAGCTTGGATGAAGCAGGGCGGGACTGGCTTGGGGGGTGGGGGGAGGGAATGTGAAACATTTGGATTTCACTCTACTTGGATCTGAGAAGGTCCTTTAAGGCGAACGCGAACATGTTCTGGGCGAACATGTTCGTGTTCGCCAAAACGTTCGAAATGTTCGCCTCTCTTGGCGAACTTCGAACACCCTTTTTGGTGTGTTCGGTTCGCCGAACAGCCATGTTCGAGCCCAGGCGAACACGAACATGTTCGTGTTCGCCATTTGCTCATCCCTAGGGGGGAGGATGGGAGGAGGAAATAGAAGAGAGGGTAGTGTTGTACCACCAGGTAGCGAGAGGTGAGGAATAGTAGGGAGTGGACTCATCAAAAGCCACGTCCTGATTTTGGACCAGGCAACCTGAGAGATGAAGGGAGAGATAGTCGGTGAGGATGGATTGTGACCAAGAAAGATGCAAGGAGAGAGGGGGGGAAGACGAGTGTCAGAAGACTTGCATTGGAGATTTTTTATTGATCCTAGGGAAGGGTTACAGGTTTAGAGCACGACGGGGGTTATGAGCGCACTCACGTGCTACTTATCGAGCCATTTTATCACAGTGGTGTAGTGGCTGGGATTCTGACATGGTATCAGAGCGAAGGTCTCGGGTTCGAATCACCATCTGCACACAAGCTAGCGCCGATGTGCCATTGCCACTGTCCCGTGTCCTAGGGCATCTCAGTGAGAGAGGGTGTCAGAATACCTGCACTGGGGATTCTCGACTGATCCTAGGGAAGGGTTACAGGTTTAGAGCCTGAGGGGTTATGGCCGTACTCACGTGCTACTTAACAAGCCATTTTATCCCAGTGGTTTAGTGGTTGGGATTCTGACAGTGGGTTCCCCCTGTGACAGCTTTTTCTCACTTGCCTACTTATATCTCTTTCCGTCTGTACGATTTGCAGCACATGCAGCGAGCAACACTCTAGCGGGCGACGTCACCTTCCATGTGTGGTGTGCCGCCCCTCCTCTCCAGCAAAGCCCGCATGCAACCTCTTCTCGTCCGTCCACCCCCCGTCTCACCACCTCTCAACCCACCACCCCTTGCCTCACCACATCTCGACCCACCACCCCTTGCCTCACCACCTCTCGACCCACCACCCCTTGCCTCACCACCTCTCGACCCACCACCCCTCCTCCAACCACCTCTCGCCCCACCACCCCTCAATCATCCTCCCTTCGTCCTCCCACCCCTCATTCCCAATGCTCCAGCACACCGCTTCTATCCCTTCCTCCTAAACCCACCTCGTGGCAACCTCCCCCTGCCCTCAAATCATCTCAAGCCCCTCAGACCCCTCAAGCCTCTCAAAACTCTCGCACCCATCTCACCCCTCCAGCCTCACCATCCCCTCAAACCCCTCGCACCCCTCTATCCCCCAAGACCCCACCATTATCTCCAGCCCCTGCTGCCCTGCATAACCCCACAGCCCCTGCTGCCCTGCATACCTCCCTTGCAGCCCCTCGCACCCCGCCATTATCTCCAGCCCCTGCTGCCCTGGAGGACACCGCAGCCTGGCAGCAGTTGACAGCGTGTGTGCGGCGCTTTCCCCCAGACACCCGCCTGGTGTGCACCCCTCATAACCTCTCAGCACCCCTGGGAAATCTCTCCGCACAAGCAGAGAGTCAGGGTGAAAGGCTGCTGGCAGGGATGGCAGGGCTGGGAGGGGCGGGATGGGCGGGATGGCTAGCAGGGCTGGGAATGCTGAAAGAGTGGGGAGGGGTGAGGAAAGGTGCGAGGGCCACGTGTATAGGTGAGCGGCAAAAGGCTGGTGTGGACAGTGGTGGAGATGGGCGGGTGGAGAGTGGTAGAGATGTGAGGGTGGAGAGTGGTAGGGGAGGGCGGTTGGAGAGTGGTGGAGATGGGCGGCTAGAGAGGGAGGTGGCTTTGTGGGTGGAGGCGGCGTGCAAGGCGAGAGGGGAGGGCGAGTGGATGGTGGTGATGGCGTGTGAGGATACGGGCGGTGGTATTCCACCCGACGAGATGCGCTGGGTGCTCGACCGGTATGGGGGCGACCCTCACCACTCCGCGTGCTCCCCTGCTGCTGATGATGATGGTGCCAATGGTGCTGGTGGTGCTGATGGTGCTAATGGTGGTGGCGGTGATGCTGCTGGTGGTGGGCGTGGTGACAGCAAGAAGCAACGAAGAGACGCTGTGAGTGAAGCGGGAGATAAGAGCGTGAGTGCATCTGTGCGTGTGCGTGCGTGCGTGCGTGCATGCGTGCGTGCGTGCGTGCGTGCGTGTGCGTGCGTGCTGCTTTTAGTTTCCTCGCTTGCAGGCTATTTTTTCGCCTTCCACCTGTTTCTAGAACCATTCTTCACCCCTTTCCCCTTACCATTGTTTCCATCTCCCTTCCAGTGCCGCCTGTATTCCTCATTTATCTCTCACCCTGTATGTGCCTTAACTCACTCTATCTCTCTTCTTTCTGCGTGCTTGTTCATAGTTCGCAGAAGAGATAAGAAATGGGGAGAGAAAAGTAAGCAGATTCGCGAGTCATGTCTTACTTCTCTCCCTTTCTCACTGCCTGCTATTCCTGTGCTGCACACAGGACCCAAGGAGGGGCAGCAGAGTGAAGCCTCTCACGCACGACGAGAGGGCTGCTGCTCGCCCTGCCTGGACGCCCTACCCTGTCCGCTTCCTCCTCTCCACCTCCCTTGTGAGTGCTTCCTCCTCTCCACCTCCCTCGTGAGTGCTATGTCCTTTCCACCTCATTGGTCAGTTCTGCTACAAGTAAACAAGTCTGCTTGCTTCTCTCCACCTCGCTCATGAGTGCTGCGATCCTCGCCAGGGTTTAGGGTTTAGGTTTAGGATTTAGGGTGGCCACTTGGCAGCGGCATTCTCAGATCTGATGCAACTTGCGCCACCTTTGAGGATCACTGTGACTGTCAAGACTGGTTGCCTGTTGACGAGCTGACGTTGAGTTTGCTTAGACTGGAGTGAGCACTGCCAGCTTGCTAATGTCAACAAACTGGTCGAGAGACAGAAATCGTATGTTTCTGTGAGCATTACCAGCTGTACAAAACTTACAAGAGACAGAAATCGTATGCATATACAGTTGGGCAATCAGGTGGTTTGGGATCTGCACGAGTGCAAGGATGTGTACAAATCCATGTGGCAGCTGCCAACATATACACAACCCATTCTGAAACATATTAGGCAAGAAGAAATCCTCAGAATAAAATGCAATGCTGCTTGAGCTATGGGAACTGAAGGTCGTATACCTACTTGAAGGGCTAAAGGTGATGAACCCTGCTTGAAGATCTGAAGGTGGACCAGTGATTGCCATGCGGTGACTTTTGAGTCGACTCAAAAGATCTGAAGGTGGACCAGTGATTGCCATGCCTGAAGGGCCCTTGTGAGCCCATACACCACATGCCTCTACTCGCAACCCTCTTCACTCCTTTCTGCCCTTCTCCAGTCCTTCGTGCCGCTCGCCTCTCCTCCCTGCCCCTATCCCCACCCCAGGTGGCAGAGACATGGGGAAGCAAGGCCGTGTTTTTATACGCAGCCACAGGCACCACCATCCTGCTGGCTCTCCTCTTATCCACACCAACCCCCCGAAACCATCTCCCTTCCCACCACCACCGCTCCGCACCCTCTCCCCTTCTCCAGGTGGCGGAGATGCAGGGGAGCATGGCAGTGCTCTCAGATGCCACCATCGGCACCACCATCCTGCTGGCGCTGCCCCTCACTGCACCCCAACCAGCGCCCCCTCTCCTTCCCTTCCCCCTTCCCCTTCTTCCCTCCACCCCAGGTGGCGGAGATGCGGGGGAGCATGGCAGTGCTGTCAGACAGCACTATAGGCACCACCATCCTGCTGGCTCTCCCCCTCTCTGCACCTAATCCCCCAACTAAACCCCTCCTTCCCACCTCTCCTCACTGCTCCCCACTCCTCCCCCAGGTGGCGGAGATGCGGGGGAGCATGGCAGTGCTGTCAGACAGCGCCATCGGCACCACCATCCTGCTGGCGCTGCCCCTCGCTGCCCCGCCTCCCCCAACCGAACCCGGGAGCAGCAGCTGCAGGAGAGGGGAGGGGCGTGAGGGGCAGTCCAGAGGGCTGCAGCACTGGATGGGGGTTCCCAGAGGGCATTCCCGGAGCTCCTCGTTACAATCTGCCCCGTTAAGCCCAGTAAACCCTTTAAGTCCACTTGCTCCTTTGAGCCCAGTAGCCCCTCTAAGCCCAATAAACCCTTTAAGCCCTGTAAACCCATTAAGCCCTGTAAACCCTTTAAGCCCAGTTGCCCACTTAAGTCCAATAACCCCTTCTAGCCCGGTGGCCCCTCTAAGCCCGGTAAGCCTGCGGCTGCAGACAATGCCACAGCTGGCGCTCCCCTCAGCGCGGGGCAGCATCGGCAGCATCGGGAGCAGCTTGGGAGGGAGCGGCAGGGGAGGGAGCAGCAGGGGGGGCGTTGGGGGGATCTTGGGCGGCGATGTGGGCGGCGGGGCGGGCGGCGCGGAGGCGGCGGTGCGGGCGGCGGTGGCGGGGCGCATCGGCAGCATTGGGAGTAGCTTGGGAGGAGCGGGCGGCGCGGAGGCGGCGGTGCGGGCGGCGGTGGCGGGGCGGCGGGTGGCAGTGGTGGATGACAACGCGGTGAACCGCATGGTGGCAAGGCGAACGCTGCAGGGCTACGGGGCTCACGTGCTGCTGCTGGCCTCGGGAGAGCACGCCTTGCAAGCTGTCTCCTCGCCAACCTCTGCTGCGTCACCCATCCACCTGCTGCTGCTAGACTTGCACATGCCTCCTGGCATTGATGGGTGAGTGCTCACGTGCTGCTGCTGGACCCCCACCTCGCTCCTCCATCTACTGCTGCTGGACCCCCACATGCCTCCTGGCATTGACGGGTGAGTGCTCACGTGCTGCTGCTGGCCTTGGGAGAGGACGTGCTGAAAGCTCTTTCCTCTCCCCCCTCCCTCTCCTCACCCCCCTTCCCCTCCTCGCCCCTCCACCTGCTGCTTCTAGACCTCCACATGCCTCCTGGCATTGACGGGTGAGTACTCACGTGCTGCTGCTGGCCTCTGGAGAGGATGCTGCGCTGCACTGCTCTCTCCTCACCCCCCTCCCCCTCCTCGCCCATCCAACTGCTACGAGTGCTTTCCTGCCTGCAGATGTCTCAAAAAGCAAGATTTGAGACGTCTCATGACCTCCGATGGGCGAGTGCTTACCTGCCTTACCGCACCCCACATGCCCTCTCTACCTCATCTCACCCCCACATGCCCTCTCTACCTCATCTCACCCCCACATGCCCTCTCTACCTCATCTCACCCCCACATGCCCTCCCTCCCTCATCTCACCCCCACAAGCCCTCCCTCCCTCATCTCACCCCCACAAGCCCTCCCTCCCTCATCTCACCCCCACATGCCCTCCCTGCCTCTATAGCTGCCAGCCTCCCTTGCTTTGAATTTTTGGTGCCAACAGTGCCCCTGTATGGCTCCCCCTGTATGGCTCCCCCTTGTTCCGATCAACCGCTCCCCGTGAGGCAGATTCGAAACTGCTCGTAGAATCCGGCGAATGCAGAGCGAGCAGCTGGCAGCAGCAGAGCGGCAATGTCCTGTATGACCCCCCCCCCACCCCCCCGTTGTACCAATCACCTCTCCCCCCATGACACAGATTCGAGACGGCTCGGAGAATCCGGCGCATGGAGAGCGAGCTGCTGGCAGCAGCAGAGCGGCAGCTTCCGAGCGTGGCGGAAGCAACGGCAGCCGATGAGGCAGAAGCAACAGCAGCAAATGAGGCAGCGAACGAATTCACATTCCACACGCCTCGAGAGTCAACACCAGCCGACTGTTCCGACAGTGATTTTTCTTTCCAGACTCCTCAAGAATCAACAGCAGCGAACAAGGCAGAGGAAGAAGAATTGGGGGGTTCAGCAAAGAGCTTTCCTCAGAGGCTGTGCATCATAGCGTTGACTGCAGATCTGGATGTTGGGGTGAAGCGAGCGTGCTTTGAGGCGGGGATGGATGGAGCCGTGCGCAAGCCGATCGTGGCTCATGAGCTGCTTGATGCGCTCATACATGCGGGGTTTGTAGCTGTTGAGACAGACGATGAGTTTTGTGTCGACTGAAAACACAATCAGTAGAAACAAATGCAGTAGCAGTTTTGTGGTACCCTGGATCTTTAGTTTGGCAATGAAATTCATTCATGGGAGCATGAGTAGGGCTTCTTGTATTTTGTATTCTGAGTGTGATGCCTGCCTATATATTACATTGTCTTTGCCTCGAATGGTCATGCAATATAGCATCTCGTTTTGAAAATGTTAAACTTTAAAAACCATTATCGAGTATAACCATTAGAATATAAGTCCATTACATCGACCGATTGTAGTTATTTACACTTGCTGCTGTAGTGAGTATGAGCACTGTACGTATGCACTCCTTGCTGCCGAGCCCGATAAAAGCGAAAGCGACACTTTCCCGCTGTCGCCCCATGACTTGCCAAACGCCTAGGCGTTTCAGAGAAGTGAAGAGAAGGTAAAACTCAACAATGACTCCCGAACCGACTCTAACCGCGAGCAACGCCTCTTGTGAGCCGACTCATAAGCACGCTCGCACCGCGCGCATTAGAAACCGCCGAATGCGCGAAGACGCACGCTCGCGCATACGCTTAGTATCCTCCGTCCTCCTCCCATGGCTCCTCCTCCTCTTCCCCCTGGCTTTAATCTCCTCCGCTCGAGCCGCGATTCACACGTACTCCGGCCAGCGCGCCTACTACTCCGCCGACCTGCTCCTGTACCGCGCCGGCCGCGAGGGCATGTTCGCGAATGAACGCGGGGCTTCGTCGGGATCTGGTTACATTCGGTGCGTTCGCTCAGCGTCCCTCCGTCGTCCCCATCCCTCGTCCCTTTCCGCCCGCTCCTGCTTCCCCTCGCCTTGACCAACCTATGGTTGCTGCTCTTGTGGACAGGGTATAGAGCTCCCTGTTTGTTTCACCTTCCCTCACATTCCACCCCCGCTTCCCCATTTTCCCTCCCTTTTCTTCCGCTCCCCCTTCCCCCCCGCATCTACCCGTTCCCCTCCCCATCGTACCCCGTCGTCCCCCTTTCTCCGTCTTCCCCCCCTGCCGTTCCCTCTCCCCCTCCTCTTTCTCCCCTTTCCCTCTCATTACCACTTCTTCCCGCTCCTCTTTCCCCCCCTCCCTCCTCTTTTTCCCTTCTTCCCCCTCCCCTTTCCCCCATTACCCCCCTCTTTATTCCTTCTTCCCGCTCCCCCTTTCTCCATTTCCCCCTCTTTACCCTTTCTCCCTCTCCCCAACCACCACTCCCCTTTTCCGCCTTCCCTCTTCCTCTCGTCTTTCACTCCCTTTTCTCCACTCCCGCACCTGGTTTCCCCCTCTCACATTTCCTTCTCTCCCCCCTCCTCCCCCCCCCAACCCCACCTTCCCCGAGAGGCCTCCCATCCTCCTCCCAATCTCCCCCTTTCGTTCCCGCCCTCGCCCTCCCCATCCACCCACCCGTCTCTCCCTCCAGTGGCAATGCTGCCAGCCTGCACGGATTACACCTGCTGCGGCCATCATGGGAGGCGGAGCGGAGCTACAGCTGTTGGAAATCACAGGCTGTTTTCTTGGTTCTCTCCACCCCTCTTCCAACCACGCACGCACCCACCTGTGCCTCCCTTGCTGCCAGCCTGCACGGATTGCACCTGCAGCGGCCATCATGAAAGGCGGAGCGGAGCTACAGCTGTTGGAAATCATGGGCTGTTTTCTTGGTTCTCTCCACTCCACTTGGAACCACGCACACACCCACCCACCTGTGCCTCCCTTGCTGCCAGCCTGCACGGATTGCACCTGCTGCGGCCATCATGGGAGGCGGAGCGGAGCTACAGCTGTTGGAAATCACAGGCTGTTTTCTTGGTTCTCTCCACCCCTCTTCTATTCGAACCACGCACACACCCACCCACCTGTGCCTCCCTTGCTGCCAGCTTGCACGGATTGCACCTGCAGCGCCCTTCATGAGAGGCGGAGCTACAGCCTTTGGAAACCACAGGCTGTTTTATTAATTCTCTCCACCCCACTTCTATTCGAACCACGCACACACCCACCCACCTGTGCTTCCCTTTCTGCCAGCTTGCACGGATTTCACCTGCAGCGACCATTGTAGGAGGCAGAGCGGAGCTACAGCTGATTTGGACTACTCAAGATGTTTCCTTGATTCTCTCCTCTCCCAACCCACCCACCCTACCCACCCAACCATGCTTGCCTTGCTGCTAGCCTGCACGGATTGCACCTGCAGCGGCCGTTATGGGAAGCAGAGCTACAGCCATTGGAGGGCGTGACAGGCGTGGTGGAGGTGGTGGTGTTTGATATGAGTGTGCGGCACTGGATAGGGTACCGCTGGCACAACAGCAGCAGCAGCAGCAGCAGCAGCAGCAGCACAGACACAAGTGAGTGTGAACGGACCAACGCAGGTGGGTGGGGGAAGGGCATGGTACTGGTGTTTGATATGAGTGTGCGGGACAGGATAGGGTACCGCTGGGCCGCTGGCACAACAGCAGCAGCACAGACACGACAAGTGAGTGGGTGGGTGCGCTTGCGTGGCAACGTGTGGGTGCAAGGGGAAGGCACACACACACACACACACACACACACACACACACACACACACCCACACACACACGCACGCACGCACGCACGCACACACACACGCACGCACGCACGCACGCACGCACGCACGCACGCACGCACGCACACACACACACACACACACACACACACGCATGTGCACGAACCCACACATTGGCTGATGAGCTCATTTCGCTTTTATGCATGCACGCTTCCCAACAACGTTGTTGGAAATGCAGTGAACACTGGTACCTTTTCATTGTGTTCGCTGCGTTTCCCCTTTGGTCACACGACTCAGACAAGCAGGGTGGATGAGGGCAGCGTGGAAGGCAGGGCAACACCAAGGGTAGGCCGTTCTTCTTCTGCTGCACCAAGGAGCTCGTGTTCCTCGGACCTTTCTCGCACAACTCTTCCGTGTTTCTCTCCCTCCACTCTCTCCCCTTCCCCACCCCATTCCAAACCCCATTCGCCCATGCAGACAGCGGGGTGGAACAGGGCAGCGGACCTCTCTTCTTCTTCTGCTGTACCAAGGAGCTCGTGTTGCTAGGATCTTTCTCACGCAGCCTCTCCGTCTGTCCCCCATTCTTTCCCCTTCCCCACCCCATTCCAAACCCCATTCGTCCATCCAGACAGTGGGGTGGACGAGGGCACTGGGCCGTTCTTCTTCTGCTGCACCAAGGAGCTCGAGCCTCTTACTGGCTGCACCGTGGGGAAGCTGATAGTGCGACGAGAGGCACACGAGCCAGATGTGAGTTGAGATGCAATCCGGTTACATGCGGTGTGGGTGGTGGCATGGCAATTCCCCTGCGTTCTTCTTCTGCTGCACCAGGGAGCTTGAGCCACTTACCAGGTGCACCGTGGGCCGCCTTATAGTCAGACGAGCAGCGCACGAGCCAGATGTGAGTCTCGGAATTCACTCTCTCAATAAATGTCAGTGCCTCACTGCCCTGCTTCTTCTTCTACACCAAGCAGCTCGAGCCTCTCACTGGCTGCACCGTGGGGAAGCTTATAGTGAGGCGTGCAGCGCATGAGCCTTGTGTGTTTGTGTGAATGGGCGCAAGACGTTGGTGCCAGATTGTGGCAGTGCATGAAGCTCTTCTTCTGCTACACCAAGGGCCTCAAGCCTCTCACAGGGTGCATCGTGGGCCGCCTCATAGTGCAACGAGCAGCGCACGAGCCGGATGTGAGTGTGTGTGTGAATGGACGCAAGCAGTCATTGCCAACGCCTCACCGCAACTGCTTTTCTTCTGCTGCACCAAGGAGCTCGAGCCTCTCTCCGGGTGCACCGTGGGGAGGCTGATAGTGAGAAGAGCAGCGCACGAGCCTGATGTGAGTGTGGAGGGACGCAAACAGTCAATGCGAGTGACTGTGCCTCATTGCAACTGCTCCGCTTCTGCTGCACCAACGAGCTCGAGTTGAGCCGAGCCGAGCCTCTCACCAGGTGCACCGTGGGCCGGCCGCCTCATCGTCAGACGAGCAGCGCAAGAGCCGGACGTGAGTGTGCGGCCATCAATCATTGCCTCCCTCCCTTTGACTGGTGTGGTGTGGTGTGGTGTAGTGTAGTGCCATTTCTTCTCCGCTGCTCTTCTGCTGCACCAGGGAGCTTGAGCCTCTCACCAGGTGCACCATGGGCCGGCCGCCTCATAGTCAGACGAGCAGCGCAAGAGCCGGATGTGAGTTCACAACATCTACTGTTTCACTGCCTCACTGCAGCTGCTCTTCTTCTGCTGCACCAAGCAGCTCGAGTCGAGCCTCTCACCAGGTGCACCGTGGGGAGGCTGATAGTCAGACGAGCAGCGCAAGAGCCGGATGTGAGTTCACAACATCTACTGTTTCACTCCTCACTGCAGCTGCTCTTCTTCTGCTGCACCAAGCAGCTCGAGTCGAGCCTCTCACCAGGTGCACCGTGGGGAGGCTGATAGTCAGACGAGCAGCGCAAGAGCCGGATGTGAGTTCACAACATCTACTGTTTCACTGCCTCACTGCAGCTGCTCTTCTTCTGCTGCACCAAGCAGCTCGAGTCGAGACTCTCACCAGGTGCACCGTGGGGAGGCTGATAGTCAGACGAGCAGCGCACGAGCTGGATGTGAGTTCACAACATCTACTGTTTCACTGCCTCACTGCAGCTGCTCTTCTTCTGCTGCACCAAGCAGCTCGAGTCGAGCCTCTCACCAGGTGCACCGTGGGGAGGCTGATAGTCAGACGAGCAGCGCACGAGCCGGATGTGAGTTCACAACATCTACTGTTTCACTGCCTCACTGCAGCTGCTCTTCTTCTGCTGCACCAAGCAGCTCGAGTCGAGCCTCTCACCAGGTGCACCGTGGGGAGCCTGAGAGTCAGACGAGCAGCGCAAGAGCCGGATGTGAGTTCACAACATCTACTGTTTCACTGCCTCACTGCAGCTGCTCTTCTTCTGCTGCACCAAGCAGCTCGAGTCGAGCCTCTCACCAGGTGCACCGTGGGGAGGCTGATAGTCAGACGAGCAGCGCAAGAGCCGGATGTGAGTTCACAACATCTACTGTTTCACTGCCTCACTGCAGCTGCTCTTCTTCTGCTGCACCAAGCAGCTCGAGTCGAGCCTCTCACCAGGTGCACCGTGGGGAGGCTGATAGTCAGACGAGCAGCGCAAGAGCCGGATGTGAGTTCACAACATCTACTGTTTCACTGCCTCACTGCAGCTGCTCTTCTTCTGCTGCACCAAGCAGCTCGAGTCGAGCCTCTCACCAGGTGCACCGTGGGGAGGCTGATAGTCAGACGAGCAGCGCACGAGCCGGATGTGAGTTGAGCTCTGATCCGTTGAGGTTCGGTATGGTGCAGTGCGGTGTGGGTGGTGCAAATGCCTCACCGCTCAGCTCGAGCCACACACAAGGTGCACCGTGTTCTGCCTTATAGTCACTGATAGCTCACGGATAGCTCACTGATAGCTCACTGATAGCTCACTGATAGCTCACTGATAGCTCACGGATAGCTCACTGATAGTTCGCTGATAGTGCCGGGGCCAGGCTCTGTGTATGTGTGGCTGGCCATGTGCGATAAGAACCTGGACTTTGCTCCCTTCCCTGCTTTTCTCTCTCCCTTGTCTGTTCCCTGCTCTCTCCCACAGTGGCCTCGCGTCATGGAGGCTCAGTTTCTCGGCAACAGCTCGCTCACAGCAACATTAGATGCAGAGGTGCATGTGCCGCGGCCAGGCTCTGTGTATGTGTGGCTGGCCATGTGCGATAAGAACCTCAGAAGTTGCCACTTCCCTGCCTCCCGCCCCCCGCCCTCTACCCCCCCAGTGGCCTCGCGTCCTGGAGGCTCAGTTCCTCGGCAACAGCTCACTGACAGCAACTTTGGATGCAGAAGTCCACATCCCACGGTCGGGATTTGTGTATGTGTGGCTGGCCATGTGCGACAAGAACCTCAGAAGTTGCCACTTCCCTGCCTCCCGCCCCCCGCCCTCTACCCCCCCAGTGGCCTCGCGTCCTGGAGGCTCAGTTCCTCGGCAACAGCTCACTGACAGCAACTTTGGATGCAGAAGTCCACATCCCACGGTCGGGATTTGTGTATGTGTGGCTGGCCATGTGCGATAAGAACCTCAGAAGTTGCCACTTCCCTGCCTCCCGCCCCCCGCCCTCTACCCCACCAGTGGCCTCGGGTCCTAGAGGCCCAGTTTCATGGCAACAGCTCACTCACAGCAACATTGGATGGAGGTGCATCTCCCACCGCCCGGCTTTGTGTATGTGTGGCTGGCCATGTGCGATAAGAACCTGGACTTTGCTCCCTTCCCGCTTTTCTCTCTTCCTTGTCTGTCCCCTGCTCTCTCCCCCCCCAGTGGCCTCGTGTCCTGGAAGCCCAGTTCATCGGCAACAGCTCACTGACGGCAGAGCTGAGTGAAACCGTGCACGTGCCACGTGCGGGCTTTGTGTATGTGTGGCTGGCCATGTGCGATAAGAACCTGCACAGCACCAAGGTGTTTGGCCACACGGAGTGGCGTGCACACGGGTGGGGGTACCTGCCAGGCATGCTGTCAGCTCACCTGCCGATACAAACAGCCATGCTGATGGTGAGTGTGAGAGTGGGTGTGAGAGTGAGTGCGAGAGTGAGTGTGAGTGGGTGTGAGCGCAAGCATGAGAACCTGCACAGCACCAAGGTGTTTGGGCACACGGAGTGGCGCGCGCACAGGTGGGGGTACTTGCCGGGCATGCTGTCAGCGCACCTGCCGATACAAACAGCCATGCTGATGGTGAGTGTTTTAGCAAGGGCGGATTTTGCGACAAGAATCGGGCCACGAAGCTGCACCCACAGCAGTCAGTGCAATGGTGCACACTCCACTCCACAGGCAGGCTTTGTGTATGTGTGGCTGCCAACGTGTGATAAGAACCTGGCCACGAAGCTGCACCTCTATCTCACCCGGCGCCCCCTGTTCCTCCTCCATCCCGGCAATCCCTCCATCGCAACTCACTCCCTCACCTTCGTCGTCCTCCTCCTCACGCCCCCCTCTATTTTTGTCCCACGCCCCCTCTGTTCCCACCCCTCCTCCCTCTCCGCTCTCAGCTCTACTGGCGGCCCCAGTTCGGCCCAGCCTGGCACTCCCTCATAGTCAAACCATGGTGCCCCCTGCCCTCCCATTCACCCACACCCCCTCCCTCTCCCCCCCCTCCTCTCCAGCTCTTCACCCTCTTCTATGTCGCCTGGCGTCCCCAGTTCAGCCCAGCCTCGCTCACTCTTCCATGTGCCTTCTGTTCACCCCTCCCCGTCCTCTCACCCCAGCTCTACAACCCTCCTCTATGTCTACTGGCGCCCCCAGTTCGGCCCAGCCTGGCACCCTCTCATTGTCAAACCATGTTGTTCCCTACCTTCGCATTCACCCTTTTCCCTCCCCCTCCCCCTCCCCCTCCCCCTCCCCCTCCCCCTCCCCCTCCCCCTCCCCCTCCCCCTCCCCCTCCCCCTCCCCCTCCCCCTCCCCCTCCCCCTCCCCCTCCCCCTCCCCCTCCCCCTCCCCCTCCCCCTCCCCCTCCCCCTCCCCCTCCCCCTCCCCCTCCCCCTCCCCCTCCCCCTCCCCCTCCCCCTCCCCCTCCCCCTCCCCCTCCCCCTCCCCCTCCCCTTCCCCATCCCCCTCCCCCTCCCCCTCCCCATCCCCATCCCCCTCCCCCTCCCCATCCCCCTCCCCCTCCCCCTCCCCATCCCCCTCCCCCTCCCCCTCCCCCTCCCCCTCCCCCTCCCCCTCCCCCTCCCCATCCCCATCCCCCTCCCCCTCCCCCTCCCATCCAGCTCTACACCCTCCTCTACATCTACTGGCGGCCCCTGTTCGGTCCAGCCTGGCACTCCCTTGACCGCAACTCCCTCCCTCACTTCCTCACCTTCCTCCTCCTCCTCTCCCTCCTCTCCACCCTCACCGCCCTCGCCGACCTCCTCCTCCTCTGCACCACGGGGCACCGATTCGTTATAGTCACGCTCGCTGCAGTGACAGTGGGGGTTCTGCAGGGGCTGCTGCTGAGGGGGGTGCTGGTGGGGGTGGCGGTGGGCGTTGGCACGTTGCTGCCGAAAGTGGGGGTGATTCCTTGCAAGGTGGGTTGGATGCAGTGCAAGGTGGTGCAAAGCGGTACTTGGTTGCACTGTATAACCAGTCCTGCAAAGGCTGCTGCTAAGGGCAGTGTTGGTGCGTGGGCACGCTGCTTCCGAAAGTGGGGGTGATTCCTCACGAGGTGGGTCGGGTGGGGTGAGAAGTGGCGCAAAACTCTAATTGCACTGCCTGGCTCCTGCAGGGGCTGCTGATGAGGACAGTGCTGGTGGGGGTGGCGGTGGGGTTGGCAAGGTAGGTTGGGGTGATTCCTGGCAATGTAGGTTGGGGTGATTCAATGCGGTGCAAGCGGATGCTGAGTGGTGCAGAGAGGTCCTTGCTGGAGTGCTGCAGAGGTCTGTATTCTCACTGCCTGCAGCCCTGCAGGGTTTTCTGTAAACAGCATTGCTGGTGGGGGTGGCGGAGGGGTTTGAACTCGGCTGCTGAAAGTAGGGGTGATTCCTGAAAGGGTTGAAATCTGGTGGGGTGAGTTGTGGTGCAGAGTCGTTCAGGGTGGTGCAGAGTTGTTCAGAGTGGTGCAGAGTCATTCTTGCTGGAGTGCCGCAGTGCTCCATTCCTGCAAAAGTGGATCTGGGTGGGTGAGAGGCCAAACCATTCCTTCCATCTCCCACTGCCCTCTCAACCTCTCTCCTCCGCACAGGCGCGCATACCAGCAGCCCTGTACGTGCCAGTAGTGTGCACATGTGAGGCAGTGAGGAATGTGAGGCGGGTGAACGACTGGGGAAGCGGTGAGGTGGTGAGATGAGGCATGCTCACACGAGTTCTTCCATCTCTACCCCTCCATCTCTCCTCCCCACAGGCGCTTATACCAGCAGCCCTGTACGTGCTAGTGGTGGGAACATGCGAGGCAGTGAGCAGTGTCGGGCAGGAGAGGTAGTGAGGTGAGGTGAGGCATGCTCACACGAGTCTGTGCATCTCTTACCCCATCTCTCTCTTTCCCCCTAAGGCGCTCATACTACCAGGAGCCCAGTACGTGCTAGTGGCAAGTACATGCAAGGCCAGTGAGGAGTGTGGGGCAGGTGGGGTGTGTCAGTCTTAGGCCTGAACCAAACCAGCCCCATTCCTCTCTCCCTCTCTCTCTCTCAGCCTTCAAGCGCTCATACCAGCAGCCCTCTATGTGCTAGTAGCGGCCACATGCGAGGCAGTGAGGAGCGTGGGGCAGGTGGACGATTGGGGCAGTGGTGAGGTGGTGAGATGAGGCATGCTCACACGAGTCCTTGCATCTCTTTCCCTCCCCACAGGCGCTCATACCAGCAGCCCTGTACGTGCTAGTAGCGGGCACATGCGAGGGAACGAGGAGCGTGGGGAAGGTGGACGATTGGGGCAGTGGTGAGGCATGCTTACACGAATCCTTACACCTCTTACCTCACCCTTCCCACTCTTCCCCCCATAGGCGCTCATACCAGCAGCCCTGTACGTGCTAGTGGCGGGAACATGCGAGGGAATGAGGAGCGTGGGGCAGGGGGACGACTGGGGCAGTGGAGAGCATGTGGCTCTGCGCGCCCCTCTTGTGCTCCTGGACCTCTGTCTCGCTGCGTGGCTTATTCTAACCGCTCTCACCACAAAGGCGCAGGTGAGGGGGTGCAAGTATGGCAAAACAACAGGGCGTGTGAGGCAGTGAGGAGCGTGGGGCAGTTGGACGATTGGGGCAGTGGAGAGCATGTGGCTTTGCGCGCCCCTCTTGTGCTCCTGGACCTCTGTCTCGCTGCGTGGCTCATCCGGGCCTCTCTTGCTACCAAGGAGCAGGTGAGCGATGGCAATGTGGGTGGAGCAGTGGTGAGCGATGGCAATGTGGGTGGAGCAGTGGTGAGCGATGGCAATGTGGGTGGAGCAGTGGTGAGCGATGGCAATGTGGGTGGAGCAGTGGTGAGCGATGGCAATGTGGGTGGAGCAGTGGTGAGCGATGGCAATGTGGGTGGAGCAGTGGTGAGCGATGGCAATGTGGGTGGAGCAGTGGTGAGCGATGGCAATGTGGGTGGAGCAGTGGTGAGCGATGGCAATGTGGGTGGAGCAGTGGTGAGCGATGGCAATGTGGGTGGAGCAGTGGTGAGCGATGGCAATGTGGGTGGAGCAGTGGTGAGCGATGGCAATGTGGGTGGAGCAGTGGTGAGCGATGGCAATGTGGGTGGAGTAGTGGTGAGCGATGGCAATGTGGGTGGAGCAGTGGTGAGCGATGGCAATGTGGGTGGAGCAGTGGTGAGCGATGGCAATGTGGGTGGAGCAGTGGTGAGCGATAGCAATGTGGGTGGAGCAGTGGTGCGCGCTCCCCTCGTGCTCCCCTCGTGCTCCCCTCGTGCTCCCCTCGTGCTCCCCTCGTGCTCCCCTCGTGCTCCCCTCGTGCTCCCCTCGTGCTCCCCTCGTGCTCCCCTCGTGCTCCCCTCGTGCTCCCCTCGTGCTCCCCTCGTGCTCCCCTCGTGCTCCCCTCGTGCTCCCCTCGTGCTCCCCTCGTGCTCCCCTCGTGCTCCCCTCGTGCTCCTGGACCTCTGTCTGGCTGCCAGTCTCGTCAGGGCTGCTGCTGCTGCCAAGGAGCAGGTAGGCGATGGCAATGTGGGTGGCACAGTGTGGTAAGCGATGGCAATGTGGGTGGCACAGTGTGGTGGCCATTGCCACATTGACATGGTCCAAGCTGCTTCTGGTTACATGCTGATGACAGTCACGTTGTCTCGCATTAACATACACCATTCATGTTTGCTGCTCACTCATTTCTGAGGCTTTATTTCAGGAATCTGAAGAATACTCAGTTCACAAGCACCGTTCACCCTATCGATCTCCTGCCTCCACTTGTTCTCGTCTTCTCTCTGCTGTGGCTCCTGTTTGGTGCGGTGCTGAGTGTGGTGTGGTGTGGTCTGGTCTGGTGTGGAGCAGTGTGGTGTTCTGTGAGGGGCCGCTGTGCGATGCGGTACGGTGTTGTGTGATACCACACTCCAGTGCGTGGAGGCATCAGACAGTCGAATCGTGAGCACCTTCCGCCAGGCACAGGCAGCAATGGGGGCCATAGGCGCTGCTGCACTTGCCCTCACCTTCTCAGAGGTACGTGTGCGTGCATGCAACCTCACCCTCACCCTCACCCTCACCTACAGACAGTCGAATCGCGAGCACAGCAGCAGTAGGCCACCTCCTCTCCTCCACGTCCATCCTCCCCCTTCACTTCTCCTCTTCTCCACCACCCCCCTGCCCTCCCTCCTCTCCCTCCCAACCACCACCAGGCCTATGTGAAGCTTTCAGATCCTCTCAACCTGCAGTGGCAGAGCGATTGGCTCATCACAGCAGCACGGCACTTCCTCGCCTTCCATACCTACTCCTCTACCCCCCCTCCTCCCCCCCTCCTTCTCCCCACCACCAGGCCTATGTGAAGCTATCAGACCCTCTCAACCTGCAGTGGCAGAGCGATTGGCTCATCACAGCAGCATGGCACCTCCTCTCCTCCACGTCCATCTTCCTCATTCACCTCTCCTCTTCTCCACCACCCCCCTGCCCTCCCTCCTCTCCCTCCCACCTCTCCCTCCCAACCATCAGGCCTATGTGAAGCTATCAGACCCTCTCAACCTGCAGTGGCAGAGCGACTGGCTCATCACAGCAGCATGGCACCTCCTATCCTTCCATATCTAGTCCTCTACCCCCTCCTTCTCCCCACCATCAGGCCTATGTGAAGCTCTCAGACCCTCTCAACCTGCAGTGGCAGAGCGATTGGCTCATCACAGCAGCATGGCACCTCCTCTCCTTCCTCACCCTCGCCTCTCTCTGCTTCCTCTGGAGCCCTGCCCGCTTCTCCTCGCGGTGCGTCTCTTCTGACTCAACTTACAGCCTTTCCCGCTCACCCCTATTCACACCTTGTCACACCTGGTCACACCTGAGACACCCGGTTACAGCCAGTCACCTCTCCGTCCTCACCCTTTCCTCTCCCTGCTTCCTTTGGAGCCCTGCCCGCCTCCCCTCCCCCCTGGTGCGTCTCACCTCATCACACCTCGTCGCACCTCGTCGCACCTTGCCACCTCTCCTTCCTTCCGCACCCTCTCCTCCCTCTCCTTCGTCTGGAGCCCTGCCTGCCTTTGTCCCCCTGCTCTCCATATCTTCTGGATCAACTCAAACCCCTTTTTCACCCTTACCTTGCCGCTTGCTGGCCTCACCTAGTCACACCTTGCCACACCTGGTCACACCTTGTGACACCTTGTCTCGCCCCCTCACCTTCCCATCTCTCTCCTCTCCTGTATGGATGCATGGAAGGTTGGAGGTGAATGTCTGCATGGTTGGGTGCTTGAGTTGTGGAAGAATCTATTCCAGGCCAATTTTCCTAGTCCTATGCGGTGTTGCCTTAACAGTATAGCTCCCATTCATGTCTTCAACTCTTGATTACCCCTCTTTCCTGTACCGTCCACTCTCATCCCGTCCCTTGCCCTCCATACTGCTTGTTACACCTACTTCTTATTACTACACTTACTTTCCAATGCTCCTTAGGCATGATGGATCCACTCAGGGCGACAAGGAAGAGGCAACGTCTCTCATGTCTTAGTGGTGGTGTTGTGCGTCAGTAGTTAGTTAGCGCTTTTGCTGAATTTGGTACTGTATGTGTAGTATAGTAGTATAAAACTCATACCGTATTCCCCCGGATAAAACACCCGGGGGTATTATGATAACCACTGGGAAAAAATGGGGGGGGTCTCCTCAACGGAAAGTCCTACATAATACCCGGGTCTTATTATATTGTACTTTTTTTTTTTTAAGCAGAATCGATGTGTTTCAAAATGTGGTGTGTGACTTCACTTCTTGTTTGTTAAACAGTGCCGCAAAACCGAGTATACGAGGATAACGTGACCGCCCACTGGACTCTGCCACATGGCAACTTCCAGTGGGCTAACTATGGACCCTGATTGGCTGGAAACAGAGCCAGCCATGCATAGCGAGAGTTCATGCAACTCCCGAGGCCGGAATCGCGCACGAAGCTGCGTTGTCACTGTACCAGTCACGTCTTGACTGGTTTGGTCACGTCCCTGTCCCTCAAAGGGCTCTCTCACCTCCTCCCCGTGGAGCGGTTCCAGTGCACGTTACTGACGAGTGCTCGACAGGCTATTAGAGCACCTCCGTCCTGCAGGCTAGCGTCTTTGTTTATAGCCATTCCCGCTATGGCTAGTGACACCAATCTGCACTAGCCTAGCATGGTTTCCTCACCCGACTCTAGCAGTACGATAGTTAGGTGGGCACGTCCCTCTACCTCTCAGTCTCCCGCTGCTGCTCGCGCACGGACGTCGCCTCGTCCCGTCTTGCCCCAGCTGTCTCCTCCTGGTAGTGCTTCAACCAGGGATGAACCGAGCAGTAGCTCCGAAGCTCTTCGTCCTCCCCTTCCCCGTGTCATTGTCCCCACCTTCCCGGATAGTAAGCACCCGCAGGGTCAGAAGAAGCGCAACGTGGATGGTGAGACACCATCCCCTCGCCACCGCATGACGAAGAAAGTGCGTCACGCGATCACTGCGAAGGAGAAGCTGCACTGGCTGAAGATGCAAGACTCTCAGCCCGATCTTAAAAATCGCGCCCTGGCGAAGCTCGCGAAGGTCCAGCCCTGCCAGATCCGCGAGTGGAAGAAGCTGAGAGAGTGCCTGGAGATTGCTTCTAGCTGCCGACGTCGCCTCGTGGGCGACGGCCGCAAGGCGAAGTACCCGTTCATGGAACGGGCGGTCTACCGCCACTTCTTGAAGCACCGGGCGAAGGGCCTTGCCATCTCGGTCCGCATGCTCTAGCAGTGGAGCGCCAAGTACATGAAGCACCGGATGCCGTCCGTCGATTGGCGCGCTTCGTACCGCTGGGTTTCGCGTTTCCGTCGGCGCTTTCACTTGGCAAGGCGGGTGAAGACGAAGATGGGGCAGAGGTTGGCCACCGATGAGTCACTGTTGAATCTGTTTAATTTGCCGGTTGGTTTTTGTCTGTTTCATATTGCCGTCGTTTGTTTCTACGACCTACTAGATCTAAGGCGTGCGGTTGATGTGTTTGCAGATTGCAAGGCGAAGGTGGAGGCATTTTGGGAGTTTGTTCGCCAGATGCGCACTCTGCACGACTATCCACTCAACCTCATCGTGAACGCGGACCAGACTCCGCTCTTCTTGGAGATGCCGGCGGAGCGCACCATCGAAGTGAAGGGAGCGCGTACGGTTCACGTACGCAGTGCAGGATACGAGAAGGAGCGCGTTACTGTCATGCTGGGAGTAACGGTGGGTGGCCTCAAGCTTCCTCCCTACGTCTTGTTCAAGCGAAAGACAATCCCAAAAGTCCCAATTCCTGCCGGTAAGGGAAGCATGTTTACAGTTTACGGTGTGCTCATGCCTGTCGCGCGTCCTGACCCGTCTACACCCTTGCGTTGTGACTGGCAGGTGTGGTGGTCCGTGCACAAGACAAGGGGTGGTTGGACGAATCCCTTGTGCAGGACTGGATCACCCAGGTGCTCGTGCCGTTTCTGAAGCCCCTGCGGGAGACCAACGGCCGCCGCAGGGAGGCCTTGGTGGTGCTTGACTCCTACCGCGGCCACTTGACGGAAGCCGTCGGTCAGACGATGCGGATGTTCAGGTTGTCCCGGGCGGTCATTCCAGGAGGCTGCACACCGCTTGTCCAGCCTCTGGATGTGTCGGTGAACCGCGCCTTCAAGTGCGGGGTGCGTGCTCGCTACAGCGCATGTTTCGAAGAAGACGGCATCAACCTTACCACTCGCGCAGGTTCGTTTATGCCTTGTTTACCGTAGCATGCAATTTCCTTTTTACAGACCGCGCACGCTTTGCAGATGCACGGTTCTAATCCCCCTGCCGTACATCGCTACCCTTCCTACAGGTAACCTGAAGAAGCCGCCTGCGGACTTGGTTCTCCGCTGGATCGACGAGTCGTGGGAAGCTGTCCCAGAGGAGCTTGTGAAGAAAGCTTTCGTCACATGCGGGATCTCCCCCAAGATCGACGGCACTGAAGACCACCTGATCCTTGCGCACTTGCGGGACAAGGGGGAGGTCGAGGTCCTTGACGACGTCAACGACCTCGTTGATGACGAGCTCGTCATCAACCCGTTCTACGCCGAGGCCCCCGTGCCGCCCGAGGAGCTGCAGGCGGCAGAGGAAGATGACGCCGTAGAGGAGGCGGCAGAGGCAGCGGCGGCGGCGGAAGAGGAGGAGTGGAACGCGCCAGAAGAAGGCGGTGAGGCGGAAGAGAACAACGATGACGATGATGATTGGTGGCGCCCTGGCTGCTATGACGGTGAAGAATGTGAGGAGTGGCACGCAGGGGACGATGGGGAAGAGGAGTAGGCAGCACTAGGAGAAGCACTATTGAGAAGAGACAGAAGTATCGTAGTAGGTTATATTACTAAAGAGTAATTGTAGGGTCTACATGCTGTGTGTTGCTCATCAGTGGTAGATTGTACCTCTAACTGTGTGAAATGTGACCTAAAATTGCACTTTTGCCGCACATAACACCCACCCCCCGGGTCTTATATAGGATCACCCCAAAAGGGGGGGTATAGTACCAACGGGGTCAAATATAACACCCCCCCCGCACAAGCTACCCGGGGGTGTACAATTCGGGGTGGGTGTTTTATCCGG